TCAAACTCAGGACCTTGTGCTTGCAAGGCAGGCATGGTGCCACTGAGCTAAATCCCCAGCCCAATTTTTCAATATTTCTTATCATTACATTCATTAAATGTATTGAGTCCTCAGAGAAAGGCTGCAGGACTGACATTTTTATCACCACTAAACAGCTGAGAAAATTGAGTTAGAAGTGAAGTGACTGATTCAAAGTCACCCAACTTGCTGCTTATCTAAAAGTGGAACCTAGGCCTTTTGGATGCCTAGCCAAGAATTCCACTATGCTGCTTTGCCTGGCGCTGGTTTAGGGGAAAAAATATGTCTGGAGGACAATATAGAGAAGGGGAAAGCACACGGTGGCCAGAGGTACAGAGAGTTAACCAGCCTCTCAGTCCCCCAAGGACAGATGGCCTGATGAGGCCAGTCGGGGACTGTAGAGAATGAAGAATCGATCTGCCATTCCATGTGAAAATGGAGTGTAGCCCCAGCCTGTGTGTGTCAATGGAGCTGATTAGCACTTGCGTGAGTCTCCAGCCATCGATCGGCAGGTGAGAATCGTTCTGGGAACAGCAGGGGGCCAGCCCTCTACCACCCCCGTTCATACCAGCTTCCTCCTTTCACAGAAGTTCTTTCTGCGCCCCCTCAATTCTTGCCACCTAGATCTCCAGACTCCTCCAATCCCCCGGCCTCATGGATGCCCAGAGTTCCTGTAGCTTTTGCTGACCAAAGGAGAGCAGCATGGCCGATACCTGTGTCATTCAGCCAGACCAGGTACGGCTGGTACAAGGATGGTTGGTCTTCAGAAGGGCACTCCCTGCTTTGAAGGTCCATTGTGGGTTCATGGGTGCAAGGCTCAGCCTGGAGCTTACATCATGTGAAAGAAAAAGCAAAGGTTCTGCACACATTGGTCACATGGCTTTGAGTCCGTTGTTTGCCCCTCTAGGCCCTGCTTACTCTATGTGTATGGGACCAGGATCATTTGGATCTCACTGGATCATTTGAGTTAATAAAGAAGTATATATAAAAGATCTTTGCAGTTCCTGCTACATAGTAGGAACTAAACATACTAGTTGGAAATTGGCTCTCTATTCTCCTCAAGATGCTCCCACTCTGGTTGATCCCATTTCTATCTCTATCCTCATCATTTGAATGTCACACACAGGGGACGGCGAAACCCTCCATGTTTGGCCTGACCTGGAGCAAATCTGCTTTCAAAGAAGCTCAGCCCGTAATATTGGGCTGCCTTTGGGAAAGTAAACTGTCAAGTTGCAGCAAAAGAACTGGACAGGCTCAGATTCATGAGAGCCCCTCAGGCCCATCTGAACCCAAAGGTTGCATCCTAGGCTTGGCACATGGTATTTGAGGGCTGCCCTGATCATTCTTTGCTGCCAGTCTGTGGCCTTATCCATCACCCTCAATTGTACCAAGTCCGTGTGTCAGGTTTCCTTCATTAGCTATCCGCAAGGCTGGAGCTCTGCTAGCCGTGGTCCTGATCTTGCTAGACTTCTCCTCAGGGGTCTGGATTTGTCAACAAATGCCTGGCCTCCTTCCCCAAGTGTTGAGGCCATCTGTCTACAATTGTACCAAGTCCATGTGTCAGGTTTCCTTCATTAGCTATCCGCAAGGCTGGAGCTCTGCTAGCAGTGGTCCTGATCTTGCTAGACTTCTCCTCAGGGGTCTGGATTTGTCAACAAATGCCTGGCCTCCTTCCCCAAGTGTTGAGGCCATCTGTCTCGAGAACTTGACCTCAGCAAGTTGGGTGCTGCAGGGACAATGCAGCCAAAAGGGAGCACCTTCTTGGGTCCTCACACGTGCAGGGTGTGACCAAATAATGGACCCTGACGTAGACTAAGGCTGTAGTGGCAAATGAAAATTGTGCTCAGGACCACGGACAGATCCCACGGAACGCAGAGCCCCGGGGATTGAGGGTGGTGAGCTCAGGAGCCTTAACTCAAAACTGAACCATGAATTCAGGCACGCTGTCAGCACCTTGGACAGACACCAGGGCCCGCACTATCCTCGAAGGGCAGTCTTTTAAGAACCTGGAATAACTGGGGATTTAGCTCAGTGGTTCTGGAATCTGCCTTGCAAACGGAAGGACCCGAGTTTGATCCCCCAAAAAAGAGCCTGGAACAGTCAAAAACTGGAACTCTACTTCAAACTGTGACAGGCTAATATTTGGATGAGCTGAGTGAACCTGTGGAGGCACTAAATGTCAACGGTGGTTGTGAAAAGCAGTGTAAATTTACAGGCACATTTTTCTTTACCTAAAACCAGATGAAGTTTCTTGAACAGAGGTAAAGCTGTTAAAATTACCCAATTTTGGGCTGGGGATTTAGCTCAGTGGTTCGGTGGCCTGCCTTGCAAGTGCAAGGACCCAAGTTCAATCCCCCCATACCAAAAACAAAAATTGCCCTATTTCTTCCTTTTTGTGTGGTACTGGAGATGGAACCCCCAGGGTCTTTGCAATAAGTTACATCTTTTCTTTTCTTTAAAGATAGGGTCTCACTAGGCTGTAAATTGCCCAGGCTGGGTGTGAATTTGTGATCCTCCTACCTTAGCTTCACCAGATTGTTGGATTAAGGGTGTGCCACCACACCCAGCTTTTCTTTTCATTTTTGCCAGTTATATATTAATAACCCTCTTTGGCTCCTAATAAAGATATTGGTAATTTTTGTTTGTTTAATATTGGTAATTTATATCTCCTCTTTCTTTTTCCTGATTAGTCTAACTAGATTTTTTTTTTTTTTTTTT